GTTTTGCTAGTCCAAAATCTGCAATCTTAATGTTTCCTTGATGAATTAAAATATTTTTTGAATGCTGTAATATATATGGGGGTGAGTCAATAGAAAAGGGACAAATCGGGTAAATCACAATTTTGAGATAATTGGGTTTTTGTGTTTTGTTACACAAATTTCAGATGTAAATCAGCTGAATCTGAACCAAATTCTGAACCAACTTCCGAACTTACTGATCATTGCTAAGTCAATAGAAAAGGAACAAATTTATCTAATAGATTTGTCCCATTTCTATTGACTCGCTTTTTTATGTTTATTCATTGTCTAACAGGCTAACATTATTTATTTTCGAGAAGAAAGTTTTGAAGAAAACCTATATGTGATTTAGTTGTATATTGAAAGCTCTAAAACCTGCTGAGACGAAACTTTACTTTTATAATCTTTTCTTATATTATTTTTACGAAATACTTTTGCAGTTTTTAGCCGTTATGCAATCTTAGTAAATCGAGTTTTTAGAAACAACTTTTAACGCTTTATACTCTTTCAGCATTTCACTAATCTAAAGTTATCTCAGAGCAACTGGTGAGTGAGCAAGGGCTTCTGGTTGAAAGAGACAATTTAAATTGGCATTTGGCAACGTAGTCTATACTACTTTGGGACAAAACAATAGACAATTTTCAGGAGTACTTTATAATATGGATTGGAATCGATTTAGTTGACTTAATCGATTCCAATCTTTACTTTATAATATTACTAACATGTGTTTTATTGTTGCTTTTCTTTCTGCTGTGTTTATATAGAAAGTACCGCATTTAGTACCCGGGTAGTGCAAAAAGAATGAATAATGTTGGTTTTTATCAATTTGGAATGTGAATTAAAAAGGATGAATATAAGGTATTTTATATTATCAAACGTCTGCTGAAATAGAGAATATTACTGGAATGCCGCACCTTAGTGATTGTTACTGAAATGAAATTGAAACAGCTGTCCAAAATGGTACTTGATTTGTACCTGGGGTATAGTGTGGAGAATACAATTCAAGGTAGGTGCTTTGAATTATACTTGTTATCACTATTATAGTTGTGTTTGTCCACGCCAAATCCCAATCTCTGGCTAAATTAATGTATCAAAAACTTTATTAATAATCTTATTTAAATAAATGATCTATGTTTGCAATATTTCAAGATTATTTTTTTGATTTAATTTTTTGTAAGGGCAATTAATTTTTTGAGTTTGGTATTCGTCCAGGTTTTTCCAACAAGTATATTTTGTATTGATCTTTAGGCAGTAGTTCATTTTTATTGAATATTACTAGTCTCGCAAGCCTAATTTATACTAGTTACGGATTAACTTTCCAAAGTCCATTTTTCTGAAATACCATTTCGCCGAAATCGTAATACTGACAAACCATTTTATTAACTTGAATCGATGTCATTTCACTAACAATCAATTTAACAACATCTTGTTTCACCGACAAGTTTATTTCACCAAGTTTTTTTTAAAATTGCACTAATCTTAACTCTAATTCTAAACCTGACCCTAACAACAATGATCAGAATTACTTTGTTGGTGAAATAAATTGTCAGTGAACTAAGTTGTCGGTGAAGTGATTGTCAGTAAAATGGGCAGAACCTGAAATGGTCTTGTCAGGAAAAAGGGATATCGGAGTTATGGAGTCAGAAAATAGCATTTTGAGAAGGTGGGCTTCAGGAAAGTGAGTAACAATGACTTATACTTGGGTATAAGTCAGAATTTTCGCACGATAGTATTGAAATATACTCGGGTCTTAATCTGGATACTATTATAGGGAATACTGAATGCAGGGCTCTATAGTATTATTTTTTTATCAAGCTTGAGAATTTTTGGCCGAATTTCCTAATAATGATTTCGCGCATATATATAGTCGAGTTAGTATGTAAGCCTTTGAAAAAATTGTGTTGGCCGAGTTCTTAATTTTAGAAAACTTTATTTTAGTTTCACATTAAATATTATTCCAAATATAATACAATTTGTAAAATTCTATTTGATATTAAAATAAAATAAAAAAAAAAAAGAGAAAATTTTTTATTACATTTTTTAACACCAATTTCATAGCAATTGCCAAGACTTTTAACCTACCGCATGCCCATATAAGCTGTTTTCTAAAATCTTTCAATCCAAATTTCACATAACAGATGCTAACCTAAATATACACCTTATTTCTAATTGTTGATAATAAAAGATTGTGTTTACTATGTTAATAGCGGCCAAAATTGTTTGATCCATTAGTATGTTCTATGTTAGCTGCTTAAAATGGTTAAACATTTAGACTCTTTATTATTTGAACGCTAAGCGAATATTAATTCAAAACCTGATATTTAAAAAATAATAGATAAGATACATTATAGTGATCTTTTTTAGAACATTACCTTAAATTGCTGACTAGTGTATCCAAGGAATTTACAATGCCCAGAGATATTCAGTATTTTTACCTGACATTACACAAGGTAATAATTTTGATTGGTTAAATTTTATTTCCTGGTTTTTATCCTCACGCACTCATATATACCCGCATCTAATAAAAATGCTGTGATGCCAGGTAAATGGCCTGTCAATGAAGTGACCATCGGGAGAATGAGCAACAATGGTTCTAAGAATTGCTTTTTTTTAAAGCATATCGATCAATATTTTGTAAATATTACCCGTGTATTAAAAAATTTAACTCTTCAATTGGAGATCTACAAGTCAGCAGTTCACAGTAAATTTGATTAAAATAAAAGTTACTATTACTATACCATTATGTTATGCTTATAAATTTTTTAATTTTTTGGGTTTGGGTTGGTTAGGTTTTGGGCAGTAAATGTCACGCTTTGCTGGATTTTGGATGTGCTGTGCTATTTCTTCATACAGATACCATTCTCGTTCTAAACTAATTCCACGAGGAGGAATTATATCTGGAAGAATCAATCCTCTATTTTTTGTTTTTGGAATTGAAGAAACTCGTGCGATTGAAATTTCAGTTTCATAACCATCAAATGACTCTCAAATTTTTACTTTACCAGGGTACTCGTGAGATAAAACAAAATGATGCTATTTAAGAATAGAAGGAACTGCAGTAAAGAATTGATCTAAAAATTGACTCCAATTGCAAAATATAATTTTTTTATTCCCATTGGAATCAATAATTGTGTCTGCTTGATTATATCTACCAGTTGTTGATTGCTCAACAATATTAATTAAATCTTCTAAATTATCTGCCTCCGAATTTCTAAATTTCAATTTAAATAATCCAAAAAAACCGTCTGGCCCGAACTTTGTATGGCCAGGAACCATGAAGCTATACATAATTTTATCATGCAAACTATTCATTACCTGCCAGGATAGATACTTAATCATCATGTTATTCTTATTTTGGCCTATGCAATTATCTGCATGAATGATAACACATTTTTCACCAAGGCCATGCATAGCAAAATAATGGTAAACGAGAGATATTACCGTATTTGTACCCTTTCCAATACTTTGGTCTTCTGGGATAAGATAATTAATCTAAAGAGATAATTAAGTTATAGCTTCCAAATTAGTAGGACAATGATTTCTGAATCCTGTAGGATTCACAGAAATCAATTGTCATACTAATTTGGAAACACTAATAGTACATATATTAATAACTTAATTTGTCTTCTGTTCTGCCCATATAGCTAGACAAACTATATGATTAAATTACCTGCCGTGGTATAGCTTCTTCGTACACACCGAATATGTCGAGCTTATAAGGTGATTTGAAATAGATAGCACCTTCTTGCTGTGAAGTGTAGGGAATATGTACATTTTCTGCGAAGTCTCAAGAAATGTGATTTTAATATTAATCGAGTTTGGAATTCCAGGTTGGGAAAGATTATTATAAGAACTTAAGGCTATTTTAGATCTGGCAATGCAATTTCTAAATATAAATGTTATTACTGTATTAATTATATAAGGGAATTGTGGGTATTATGCCGCACTTAAAAGTTGCACATATAAAAATTTTTATAGAAGCGTATTTATTTATAAAATTTAGTGAAATAAAATAAAATTCAGTTTACTATCTAATGATAGAAAAAAAAAAATCAAAATTAAAAAAAAAAAAAAAAAAAAAAAAAAAAAAAAAGAAGCTTCGAAATTAAACTTTAAAATCTGTTAAAAAACTGCTATTTTTTTCAGGTTGGGGTATTATGGCGCACTATAGTATAATTTATGATCAATCACCACCGTACTATAATATACAGATATATAAGTACTGATGTATTAAGTACTAATAAGGTAATACATAGTAAAATTACAAAAAAATTGAACACATGAATAATCATGGTATAATATTTGACCTTCGCAATTAAAACCAAGCGAATTTTATATCATTTGATTCGTCTCAATGAGACGAATTGAATGGTATTAATTTCATTTGATCTTGAGTGCTTTAAAACCCAAGTGCGTCACAATACCCCTGCGCCATTTGCTCTCCTACATATAATTACATTTATTACCTATAGTTTTCACATTCTAAATATGCCCAATTATAGTGAGCTGTCTATTCATTCAATTTTTTAATTGTCTCATTTGTATTCCAATTTTTAGCCCCAAACCGTTTGTTTTTACACAACATGCAGAGATCGCTACAAGTAGTCATGAACTGAATTCTAGAGAGATACCGTTTCCAAATACGTTGAAAGCTCGACAAACTAATTTTATTTCCTTCATCATGCTCTAAATTATCATAAATTCGATGTAATGATCGCTTACTTTCACATGCCAGTAAATATATTATTTCGCGGGTATCATCTCGAAAACTGTGCCCTAAAAGTACAAATATTTTAGTAACAATGATAATAGTGCCATATGGTATGGACCAAAGTATTCTTTATTAAAAATTTGTAACAAATAAATGTAAAATACTATATAAGCTACAGAGCACTGCATTTAGTATCCTCAAAATAGTATCTTCCAGATTATATTTCAAATATTTATTTGATTTATTAATTTTTTGTAAAGATAATTGCAAATATATTATACGTAGCTATATATAAAAATATATATCATTTGTTTAAATAAAGATTATAGTTTTTGATATATTAATTTGGCCAGAAATTGGGTTTGGGCACAAACAAACCCAAACTATAATAGTTTGGACGGCAAGTATAAAGTACCCACCTTGAATTGTCGTACAAATCAAGTTATCTTTTTTTTTTTTTGATATATATCTCGGATATTAAATACAGTGCTTTACGGTATTTAAAATTTTATGTATTTCTTATACTGTTACGTTGCATATATAGTACTTTACCAGGCGATGGAAGTCCATGTTGATTGGCGAAGTTAATAATAAACTTAAGTACTTTAATATAGTTGAAAAGGAAATTGAATGGTTGCTAATACGTCCTGTTAAGCTGTGAATCTTTGGTACAAGACCAAATTTTTGATAATGCATGTGCAAAGCCTCCCACCTTCTTTTTTGAATGTCATAAATTGTATACCAAGCTTTTTGATATATCAAAGTGCCCTCAAATTTATAATTAGTAGATAAGTATGCTTTTGGAATTCTATTTTTAAATTTCGTAGCATTCATGCTAGCATCAATTATTCCAAGAAAACATAAATTCGATTTATTTTGAGACATTGCCTTTATTTCTTGATATCTTTTAAGTGCTGTCTGATGATTAATATTTAAAAGACATCTTTTGATATAACAGAATTGTCGTAGTTTTGTCATAAATGCTTCATCATCTCTTTTATCTAATTATTTTTCATATTTTTTTTCCTCTTCCATTAATATATGCATTGGATAAAGTATATTTATTTTATGAAATTGTTTGATCTGACTAGCAGTAAAAAAATGATCAATATATACATCTATTGCTACCGACTCATAAGTTTCGTTTATGTTAAGTTCATTGTCTTCATTATCGGATTCTTCATCCGAGTTATAATCTACCAAATAAATTTCTTGAAGTGCAGAAATTTCATTATTTAAACTTTCTAATTCCTTATGAGTGTCGAATAATATATTTTTATTACTATCCGCCATAAAAAAAAAATAATAATATTGCAATTATAAATCATTTTATTATAAAGTATTGAGATAATTAATAAAAAATTCACAATTTGTAAACATT